GTTTACCTTATTTTAAAACCTGTGATTACTTAAGATGAATTTAGGGTCTGAAAAAAAAAAACCTTCCTGAAAACTAAAAACACAAAAACAAGAAACAAACAAAAAACCCCTGAACCAAATATTACCCAAAACAAGAAGACAGCAAAGCAATATTTTCAAAATACTAAGAGAGAAGAAAACCTAGAACTCTCAACATAGAAATTTATAGCTGGAAAAATAGCAGCCTCAAAAAGAAAGACAAAATAAAGACTTTTAAAGACATACAAAAGTTTAAAGAATTCATCACCAGCAGACTTTTCCTATCAGAGATGTCAAAGGAAGCATTTCAGGCATAAGGAAAATTATACAGAGAGAAATATAAAAATGGCAACAATTTAATATGAGACTTACAGCATGTAAAAGTTAAATGTATGACAACAACAGAACAAAAATTAGGAGGGAAGAATTTGAATTAACATACTATCACTTGCAGATAAATAAAGATGAATAGTGAAAATCCTAAAGTAACTACTTAAATAACAAAGAGTTATAGCTAATGAAGGATACAAAAATACAATTACAAAACATACTTCATTTAACCCAAAAGAAAGTAGAAAAACAAAAAGAAAGGATGATATACTTGAATGTAACGATGTAAACAATTATGCTAAATATGAATGGCCTAAATAGCCCATTTAAGAGAGATTGTAAATTAGCTGGTAATTTGCCTATTTGTAGACCATATAAATCTCAATATAATATTTATGTAGTCAATGAACATTTATTATATTCCATGGGAAGCATAGCATTTGTGCTGGGGATACTGCTTCAAACATCTTTTTATAGTCACTCCTCACATGATCCTAATAATCTAGTATTGAATGCACATAGTAAATAAGACTATTAGAATGGAATATAATATGCAATAGGACAGAGAAATTTGATTTTTCTCTATATATCTGGAAACAATAATAATGCTTTTAAATTGCCAACAAAATGACCATAACTTCTTCTGCTTTAACTAATGGATCATTCTAGAACATACCTTCTTGAACATACACAGTCAGAATTTCTACTAAGTAATTAGCCATTTGGAATAAAAATGGAGCTGCACGTGTGCAATCCTGCTAAACTCCCTGCTGTGGATTAACCCTTTTTCAATTCTCTCCACTGCTGTAACAGTGATTCTCACCCAGGACCAGTTTTGCCCTTATGGGACATTTGGCAATGTCTGAAAATAGTTTTGGTTGTCACTACAAGGGAGGGGTATTACTAGCATCTGCTGGGTAGAGGCCAAGGATGCCGCTAAAGATCTGTTTTAGTTACTTTTCTCGTGACTGAAACAAAACACCTGACACTCAAAGTTAAAAAAGAAAAGGTTTATTTCAAATCATAGTTTGTAGCGGTTTCAGTCCTCTAATTGGCTGGCTCCAAGACTGGGTGGAATAGCAGGCGGGCATCACAGAGTAGGCAGGAAGCAGCAGCAGACAAGCAGCAACAGGAGCAAGAGCTTTCCCTCTCTCCCTTTATATTCCATCCAACCGTAAACCTGTTGATTGATATACCCGAGCCCAGGATAGGGCTTGTATTATCCACCGCCTTAATCCCAGCATCACACCCTTAATCCACATTTACACATCCTAATCCAGCCACCTTCCAAACTTTCCACCTATGACAGCATGAGGCTTTGGAGGGACATCTAGACATAAGCCATAACAACATCCTTCTGATTATGGGGCAGAAAAACAACCATTCAGCTCCAAAAGTCAATATTGTCTTTGTTGGTAAAGCCTGAACTTGGGTGATCAATTGTCTTAGTTTACCCAAGACATCAAAAGTTTTAGCACTGAAAGTTTTGTATCTCAAGAAACGCCCAGTCTGAGGTAAACTGCGATGGTAAACTTCTACCTACTAATATTAGAAAAGCAGTCTATATTCAAATTTTTGTTCCTGTTTGTATGGGTGCTCAGTCTCCTATTGTAAGTGGTAAAAACATAATCAGCATAGATATTGAGAACATATTTTATCTAGTATTATATCAAATATGTTACCTGTATTATTTCTTTGGGTCATCTTTAACACTACAGGAGTTTACTATTATTATCTTCATTATAGAAATGAGAAAAATAGGCTTACATTAGGCTAACTGTTCAACTTTATACAACTGGTTACATAATTAGATTTATAAAACAAGGTCTATCCAACCCATGAGCCAAGTGAGCATATTCTTCAAAGGAAGATTGAAGGTTTTTTTCTTATATTGTGCCAACATGGTGGCAAAGCATGTATTTATAATGATGATTTTCTGAATTACAAATCAAACAAAATTATATTTGATGTAAATATGGCTTTTATTTCCCAACTTGTTGCTAGGCACAACTGTGCGTCAGATGTCAGCTGGTATGAAAAGTATAATTTTCTTCTAAAATGTATGGAACTTGAAACCAAAGAGATTTGAGTTTAATTTAATAGGTGATCCAGACTGAATTACTTAATTTCTTGAGCCTAATGGCAGTAATGGGTAAATTAAATAAGGTAACTTTCCTAAAGTACGTTTTATACTGCCTAGTATGTCAGAAGAATTTCAAAATGGAAGCTGTAATAATCAATATGAAGAAATAGCTTGATTTAAACAGACACCGATTAGCTTGTTCCTGACATTTTCATTAGGAGGGAAGGAGAAAGAAAAAAGAAACAATAGATGTATCATAATAATTTAGTATAACGAAATAGCATTTGAACTCAGAGAGGATTGGCAGAAAGGCAGCTTAGATACTGTATGAAATACAGTAGATACTGTGTGAAAATATAACATTTATCTTCTCTAAAATGAAGGCAATCATTTATTAAAATTGTAGAGATTATGACATAGAACATCTGACATACTTCCACCCTTAACATTCTACTTCCAAAAAGTTACTGTTAAAAGAGGGTGCTGTACAGGATGTGAACAGCAAGAGCAGGTTTATGGGCTTTCCTAATGGCCTGCCCATCAAAAATGGGAAGAGGTTTGGGCGGGGGCTGAGGCCAGGATCTTTTGAATGCGGTCTATAAGAGAAAGACAGCTCCACGATGATGAAATTTTCTCCCTGGAGAAAGCAGACTAAGACCAATAGCTGTAGAAAATACTCTGGCAGGCTCATATGTAATTTATGACAAAAATAATGCTACTTAAATGAAATATAAAGAGATAAAATATAAGAAAAACTATTCTCATAATGGCCAATTAATTGCCTTTTAAAATATTTTAGATTTTTGAAAATCAAATAATTCATTGCACTCTTTTAAATGACAAACATTCACTGATGGAAAAGACATATCAGTTTTGCCTTTAGTCAGCAATCAGCCAATTAAAAAGGTGCAGTTCTATTTTCTGTTGTTTGTAGGAAGAAAAGTGTACAGATACGTTCAGAACTGCAGTGTAATTAAAATGACCAAATTATAATATATTGCAGGTAACTATTAAATACAGAGGACCGGGTACAGTCCAGTTTTGCTGCATTTAAAGTAACAGCATGGGGCCGGGGATTTAGCTCATTGGTTCTGCCACCTGCCTTTAAAGGGCAAGGACACAAGTTCCGTACCCAGTACAAAAAAAAAAAAAAAAAAGTAACTGCTTAACTTAGAAAAAAGCCACAAGAAGTCTGTAATTCTCTGATGAATGAAATGGCACTTATGAGAAAGGGCTACAAAAGAAGGGGAGGGACTGTAGAAGAATTACCATCACCAGGGTGGGTGATTTCCTTGGAAGATGTAAGATTAAACTCTCCCTCCCTGAAAAAGATTGTTCCACACTTGTGGTGAACAACAGATGGACCAAGCACATGATATAAGAGTAGAGAGGCATGCCCTTAGAGGTCACTCCAAAGAGTGCAGGATTTCCATTGCTGAGGGCTCAGAGAAGGAAGGGTAACTGGGAAATGAACTGAAAATGTATCCCGTTGTATTTGTGAAGATTTATCCATACATTTCTCTACTTTTTCTCTCATATTCTTTGTCACTCCGGTTATATTTCAAGCTGATCTGATATATTCATATGCCCTCCCTCTCTCTCTCTCTCTCTCCCTCCCTCACCCCCCTTCTCCCCTCCCTCCCTCCTTTTGTTTTCATATTGATTATGGAGAGAAGTGATTTTCAAACCTGCAAACCAAACAGGTGGATTTAGGACAAAATAGTCCTGAAATGATGATTGCTGTCTCCTCCCATTGAGGTTTATGCAATTGAACAGACACTTGGTCACACAACTGTATTCAGAGCCACAGTAGTGCCTGAGGAGGGTAACTGAGTTTACTGGGAGTCACTGGGCTGTTACAACAGGAGGGAGGGTATGTGCACACCGTGGAATCGTCCCCGGGCAGGGGCAGATAAATTTTGTGGGTCTTGACAAAAATACTAAGTCCCCCAAAAATGGTTAGAAAGAAAAAGTAAGTCACAATAAGTTTCTGGAACTTTGGAGATTCAGGTTCTTTTCTTGAATTTCTGTAGGCAATTGCAAGAAATGTTCCTTCAGAAGTGCTAGTTGATTTGAAACACAGCGCCCCGCCCAGCTCTAAATCCCAGAAACTGAGCACTCATGCACGCAGGCCCTAGAAATGAGGTCTGCCCACTGAGTTTCATTGGCAGCGTCCTCTACCTATAATTTCTTTTTGAGGCTTAGTTTGAGAAGTCTAAAATTACCACGATGCATAGATAACAGAAGACTGTGGGTCTAACGCTTGTCAAGTCACTGTAAGAGCTCAAGCTACTACCTCTCTGTCGCCTGTCTGGACGCTCGAGTCGCGCTAGGTGTTACGGTGTCGGATTGGGGTCCAGCTGGCCCGCGCTGCACGCCCACAGCAGCAGCCCCCGGCCGGTCAGCACGCGGGGGTGGGGGGGGCGGGGGCTGCGCGCGGGAGGGCCCGGGGCCTCGGCCGCAGCGGATTGGCCGGGGCGGGCCGGGGCGGGCTCCACCGCGCCTCCCCGTAGAGCGGGCTATATTGGCACAGTTCCTGCCAGGGCAGGGCGTTTCGCGGCGCGAAGCAGGAACTGAGGAGAGCACTTCAGCGCGCGGCGCGGGCGCAGCAGGCGGGCGAGCCTGCCGAGAGCGAGCCTGGAGCTGCGGGGTTGCAGTGCTATGAGGCAGCGGCTCAGGGCGCGCAGGCTGGCGGTCTGGCGAGGCTGGCCGGCACCCGGCCCCAGCTGCTGCTCCGGAGGCTGCTGAGCGCCGGGCGGCCCGCGCCGAGAGTGGAGAGGCGGCGGCGGAGCGCGAGGGCAGCTGCGGCGGCTCGGGTTGGCCTCGTGGTCGGGATTCCCGGGGTGGAACCATGCGAGTAGCCAGGTGGCTGACGGGGCTGCTCTACCAGCTCTCGCTTTTCCTCACCAGGTCGTGGGAAGTTCATTTCCACCCCAGACAAGGTAAGGAAACTGTAGGGCGCCTTCCGCAGCGAGATGGGGGCCGGGCCGGGAGGGACCTGCGGACCGAGGGGGCGAGTGGCTCAGGAGTTAGGGGACACTGGCCCAGCAGGGACTCCTGGGACCCCGGGACCCGCTCATCCCGAGCATCCAGAGAAGTCTCGGGTGCGCAGATTGTGAGGAATCGCTCGCCCTGGGCAACGTTTGACTCCCGCGACCACGCGGAGGGTGCGCTTGGGTCTGAGTGGCGCGTACACCCGGGGCGCGAGTCGCCGGCAAGGAAGCACAGGGGGAGTGGAGACGAGGTGGGCTGCCTGGGGCCGTGAACGGCAGGGTTTCTGCGGGGGCCAATGGAGCAAATTTGGGGTGTGGGAAAACAGATCGCCAGCAGTCAGTCAGAGCCCGTGCGCCAGAGCGTCCCGGGACCTGGAGCATTTAGCGGGGATGTTTGCTGAAAGAGATTGGGGCCGGGAACGCGTGGGTTCAATGCCTTATTGCTGTGGTTGCAGAAGCTCTGGTGAAGACACTGGCCTCCTACGAAGTGGTGACCCCCGCGAGGGTCAATGAGTTCGGAGATGTGTTCCCTGAGAGCCGCCACTTCAGCCGCAGGAAGCGCAGCTCCGGGGCTGTGGAGCCCACGCCGTTCAGGACCCAATACCGCATCAGCGCCTACGGGCAGCTCTTCCAGCTGAACCTGAGCGCTGATACGGCTTTTCTGGCTGCCGGCTACACCGAGGTGCACTTGGGGACCCCCGCGCATGAGGTCCTGGGGCGCAGCGCGATGGCCCCAGACCTGCGCCACTGTTTCTACCGCGGCCAGGTCAACGCGCGGGAGGATCACACGGCTGTCTTCAGCCTCTGCGGAGGACTGGTAAGCGAGCTCCGGGCTCTGGGCATTTCCTTGGGTTCCAGTAAGGGGTACGTTCAGGGAGCGGGGCAGTGGAGTTTGTAGTTGGCGGCTTGTGATTCAGGAGTTCAGCGGGTCACTAGATGGCTCAACCTCGGTGAACCCAGGCAAGAGGCCTCTCCTCCCTGACGCTGGGAGAGGAGTTTGCAAGGCTCTAAAATCCAGGTGATCGATTCTCTGCCTGCTGGGCAAACTCGATCCCCGAGCAAAGCTGACAGATTCTTTCCTGAAAGTGGCAGGTGTTGGAATGGCCTGTGGGGGGCTCTGCTGCCAGTGGAGCGCGGTTTCCAACAACAGGCAGAGTGTTTCCCGGGTGGGGGGTGGGGGTGTCCCTTTCCTGGTCGCCTGTCGAGATCGAGCCTCCAGAATGTACTCCCATTTGGTAAATTTACTGGAATTTGAAATGACAGAAGGAAAATAGAATGCATATGCATAAAACGAAACGGCACAGTTTGGAAAGATTGTTTTGTCAGTAGTATTCGGTGACCATTAATTTGCGAAGCATTGAATACGGAAGAGCCTGAGTCCAACCGTGCCAAATGCATTGTCCTTGAAAAGGTCGGCTACATCTTCAAAGACCCGTTGTCAGCACACGAAAAAGGATCATTTGCGTGACAAGAGTAAAAGGAGTTCGAAAGAATTACAGAGGAGAGAGGAAATGAGACACAATATTATAGTCTTTTTTTTCTCTTCCTCTAAAATAGGGATTCATAACTTTTTTGTTATGTGCAGTACTTCCTTAATAGACTGGTAAACCTGGAACCTATTTTTTCAGCATAATTTTAGATATGCAAAATGATATACATAGTATTAAATAAAAAATAAATCAAAATAATATAGTTACAATGTAGTGATATACACGTTTATTAATGCATTAAAATAAATTTTATTAGTAGAGCTGTTTACTACTATATTTTTGTGCTGTAATGAGTGTAGACAGTCCGGAATGTGATGGAAAGTAGCAAAGCCACCAGGGCCTGTGGTTTCACTTACAACCACTGAAGGAAATACTTAGTAACAGAGGTTAGTGAAAATGAAGATGCAACCTTTTATGTTTATTTTTTTATGAATATGCATTTGCAGTACATAATGTTGACATTCATTTTAGGGAATAGGTACATGTACTTAACCATCTTAATTCTTTTTATTCCTTCTCCCCTCTCCTGTGTACCCCTTCCCCAGCTCTAGATCCCCTTTTGATTTGCAAGATGTATTTCCGTGTTTCCTATTGCCTATTTTTAATCTTGTTTTAAAAATTATTTATACTTTGAGTTTCTCATATAAGAGAAGTTTAAACTTGTGTGTCTCATTTCACTTAACTTTGTGGTCTCAAGGTGCATCTATTTTCCTACCAATGACTCAAATTTATCCTTCTTTATGGCAGAGTAGTGCTCCATTATGTATAAATTACCACGCTTTCTTTATCCATTCATCTGTTGATGGATGTATAGATCACTTTCAAGATTTAGGTATTATGAGTTGTGCTGCTATAAATATGGATATGCATGTATGTATTAGCATGGTATGATGGCTGTAACACTTTGGAGAAGATACCTAGAAAGGGAATAGGTGTATCAAATGGAATTTCAACTTTTAATTTTTTAAATTATTTTTTATTCATTATCATTTTATTCATTTATTGGTACATTTCAGGTATACATTATGATCACATTCAATCATTGGGAATTCATACCTATACATGGTATATCTTGATTCTTGTTTTTTCCCTTTCAACTTTTAATTTTTTGTGGCATCTCCATACTGATTTCCATAGTAGTTGCACCAATTTATATTCCCACGAACAACATAGCAGGGTTCCTCCTCACCCCATTCCCAGCCTTGCCTGCATTTGTTATTGTTTGAATTTTTGGTAATAGCCATTCTTTGTAGAGTAACATGAAATGTGAGATGTAACCTTTACTTTAAAACAGACAGATTTTTGCTCATTCCATCAGTAACTTCTCTGATAAATACCTATTCAAGAAGAAACAAGAGCTAGGAATTTGGGTCTAGTTTTCAAGTACTCTATCTTTCGTTAAGTAGAAATAAATACATGAGACAAATACTTTTAAAAGATGTTCAAAGATATTTTCAAAATATCACCACTATTTGTTAACTGAATAAAAAATTGATAGTTTTCTCCAGGGTAAATATGATACTTGCTTTCAGGTAAGAACTGTAGATTTATGATGTAATCCTGGGTGTGAGCATTGGCCATTAGTAGGTAAATTTGAAAACTATCTTTGCTCTTTTTCAGTCTATTATCTTGAGTTGTATTTACATGGAATGCCTTGAACAATTTTCTTCCTTTTTGCTATAGATAAACATACAATATTTATGACATCAAATGGCAGAAATACACTATACTATTTACGCAGTGACATATTTCAAAGGAAGAAAATTCTCTTTTCTAAAATCTTTTAAAATAATGCTAAGTTTATCTTGAAAATCCTAGATTTACTACCACAAATTTGTCATGGTCAATATATTTTCTTGTTTGATATTTTATAGCACTGAAAAACTTTCCAGATGGGAAGCATTATTAAAGGAATGTTTCTTCTCATTTTGATTCACAATATTGGTGTCGTTGAAGTTATTATTCAATATGCCCTTTTTGAATTCAGAAAGCTATTTAAGAGGTTTCTGAGAAAGGCTGGAGTAGTAATGGCACATACCTATAATCTCAGTTTCTCAGGAGGCTGAGATAGGAAAATCTCAAGCTCAAGGCAAGTTTGGGCAACATAATAAGAACCTGCTTTTAAAAAGTTCTGAGATATCATAGGAGTCCATCTTTTCCTGTCATGGCATCAGTTTGGATACAGTTCCCCATCATCATCTGGCATTATCAATCTTGTTTTTTAAATGTACTTTGCTTTCGATATATTTATTGGTATTTTTCAGAATTTTTTTGATTTAACACTTAAAATTTATTTTCAAATCTATATAACTCAGTATTGTCTTAATTTCTTTGCATTTGTACAAGGCTAAATTGAGCACGTCAGTCATTATAGAGAGTGAAATTCTCTGTTAATAAAGCAAATAGCTAGACATACTAAGATCTAAATGTTTTTTAGTTGTATGACCATAACCAACAGTGTCTGAATTACTAATGAACTTAGTGATATGTCCTTGATTTTTCTTATTTTTGATATTAGAACTAAACCAGATATTCGCTACTTATTTATGATTATATATTTTTATTTGTACCGCAACTCTAACATTAATTTTCTTTAGATTAATGGTTTCATCAAAGAGCTGGACCCATGGCAGGACTTAGAATCCATTTGTCCATACATCAGACTCATCTCTTTAGTCTCAAATCGGTCTTTAGTGTTTATATCTGGGTAAGATTGTGGTACCCAAAGCCTGAACTAGCTGAGTTGTTTGCAGATAAATGCTAATATAAAGCCTGGGAGCTCAATAATGTCAACCTTCAAGCCTTGGTATTATTTGCCTTCTAACTTTGTCACCTGTGTACTTGACTATAACAATCTGGCTTTGACCACTTTTGATCCATTAAACATTATTTGCTGAAGGATTTTTGGAGTTAGTGTTATTCACTTAGGATCTACTCTTCTAGTTACTTGCTTTGTTTCAGTTTTGCTTCTGATCGTGAATGGATATTACATTTTATTAAATGCTTTTCCTGAGTATATTGAAATGAATGCATGATCTCATTTTTTTCTGCTAATATATGTTGTTTTATACATTGCTGGATTAAAGCATACATTGACCATTGACGACAGTCGACCATACAGGAACTGTAAAATGTTCTGAGGCTTTTTGTCTTGATTTGTTTTGGAGAAAGGTGAGGAAATTGTACCATCCAGTTCTTCAGGTCACTGGTGATGTCCTTTTGTGCCATAGTCCGTTGTACCTTTCTGGCACCAGCAATTGAATATTGGGCTGGAGAACTGGCCTTTATTCTCCTTGCTCGTCAAAGCTCACTGGTCTTATTGGTAACTAATTCCCTCCTGGGCTTTGACTAGTGCTGCACATCTCTCTGAGTTCTGACTCACACCAGTTTGATTTCTTGTCTTGCTGATTCATTGTTCAGCCCTCAGATACAAGGTCACTTTGCAACTGGTGCCACACCTTCCACAGGTAAGCTGGCTTAGTGATGCTCTTGATCTTACAGAGCTCTCTAAGGTCCTGAAACCTATAGGATTTGAAAGTCATTAGGTACTCAGTTCTTCGCTTGGATAAAGTCTTCTACACATTTAGTGTCTGGCTGTTTGGAGAACTCTTTCAGAGAATCTCTTCCTTGAGCTGCACATAGTCAACATGCTGAAGCACTTCTCTTGGCAGTCCATTTAAACCATGTAATATGCCTTCTGATCCTGGGATTTTTAATTTGCAGTAGAGACATTATCACATCTGTTTCCCTTGCCTTTTTTAAATCTTTTCTTCCCTTCTGTCTCTTGGTTAGTTGATCTTTCACCTTACTATCTTCCCATTGATGTAGCATCTGTCTTTTCCTTGTTTGTTGGCTGGTGAGGAATGAACTTTTAGAAGGAAATGAAAAATCTTTTGCAAAGGGGAAGAGGATCCAAGAGATGGAGGGGGAAGGAATGGAGAGGAAGGGGATAAATAAAGAATTAAGATGTGTTATGTACACGTGCCAACACCCTACAATGAATGTAATCATTATGTACTGAAAACACATACTGATAAAAATAAAAAAGAGAAAAACCATATTTTGAAGTGTTATCTCTGAATAACTGTTTGTTCAAATTAATGTCAACATTTATATTAATTCCATTTATTTATTAGTGTTGAATGAGCCCAAAATAAATGAGGTAATGTTTTCTTTCAATTTTTCTATCATTAATTTTTTCTACTTTTAGAAATCTTGGTATTTACATGTTTTTCTCTTGCACTAAATCACTGAAGCATGACTAGTATTGTTTAGTTTTCTTCCTAAGTGTTTGGAGCACAAGAACCAGAAGGGGCTAAGAGTCTGC